ACTTATCATCGACCATTGTTAATCCCGCTGATGGTTGGCAGACTGTATTCTATTCAACCAGAGAACCACTCCCTTGGCCTACTGTTTTCCAGGGGGAATAAACTTCTACTATCATCGACCATTGTTAATCCCGCTGATGGTTGGCAGACTGTATTCTATTCAACCAGAGAACCACTCCCTTGGCCTACTGGTTTTCCAGGCACCGTCACTTGATATGAAAAATGAATACTCACGCGTTCATTGCAAATCAAATTCAATTTTCCCGACAGAAAAACGGATGTGTTAAGCTACAAAACGAATGGAAACCACCACGAGTTCCAGAGAAAGTAAATGGAATAAAGGATGTCGAAAATAGCAGAAATGAGAAGCCTTTTCATAGGGTTACTTTTGCTTCTTGATATTCCTGGTATTCACTGATTAAATCGTTCACATTAGATTCAGTTGACACAAATTCGCTTTCATCCATTCCTTCTCCACTGTACCAGTGCATGAAGGCTTTCCTTCTGTACATTGCAGAGAATGCTTGTTGTATACGTCGGAACACTGTTTGTAACGCGGTTGTATTAGCCAGGAATGTGGCGCACATCTTCTGTCCACGCATGGGAATGTCACATACTGCGTTTTGCACATTATTCGGAATCCATTCGACGAAATATTGTGAATTCTTATCTTGCACGTTCAACATACTCTCTTCTACTTCGGCCATACTCATCCGACCACGAAACACTGAGGCGCATGTGAGAAAGCGTCCTTGACGCGGGTCACAGAAGGCCATCAGATGTTTTGCGTCAAACATTTGTTGAACGAGATTCGGCACAGTTATGGCTTTGTACGGTTGATTGCCGCGACTGGCTAGAGGTACGAAGCAGGGAGCAAAAAAGTGTAGACGAGGAAACGGAACCATATTTACCGCCAATTTGCGCAGGTCGGAGTTCAGCTGACCGGGAAATCGGAAACAGGTTGTCATCCCGCCAACGCAGGTGGACATGAGGTGGTTGATGTCCGCGAATGAGGCAGAAATGTTCAACACGTTTGTACAAATGCTATGCAGTGCTTCATTATCCAACACAACCGTTTCATCACTGAGTGAGAGGAGGACATCTATGGTGAATATGGCGTTATACGGTTCCACGACGACGTCAGAAACCTGTAAACAGGAACAAACACTATAGTAGAAATGAGCAACCAGATTACAGCCTGTTTTGGTTAGAGCTAGGTTATCAGTACACCTTGGCACTTTGGCCAACAGGCTAAAAGACCTAAGTGAGTTATCAAAGCGAGTGGCGATCAAACTTGTCCCCGTATCGCCATCCACAATTAGACTGCTGGTCTTCACAGTTGGATTGAATCTCAACATGTTCCCCATAGTTTCTTGAAATTCACTGGACGGATAAGAACACCACTACGTTCGTCTCGCATTGAAGCACAAGTTTACCAGAAGCCTTCCAAGAGACCATGAAACCTGGTGGACAAAACGAACAGGAATCGGCTGTTGCCCTCGGACCTTACGTACGCCTGTCCGTCCTATTCGTGCAGCCGGTGCTAAACAGCTCGACGTTACTTACCATATCTACGAAGCGCATGGTTCACCTTTCTGCTTATTTGAACGGTGGATGCATCACCTCAAGTTGCAGTTCAGCCGTGAACCTGCAGTGTCCACCTCAAGCACTGTAGAGATGATGCTCAAACGACTCTTCAATATGGAATCGGTTCTTAACAGCACAAAACGCTCCCGGGGGGTTGTTACTAACACCAATGTGGTGACACAATGGCCGCGCACATTCTGTCCATCATACGGCTAATAATTACGGCAGTGAAGCATCTGTGTTGAACACTGATGTCATGCTGCCGATGACTATGATGATGATCCTTAGTGGGATAATGTGAGCATTAGAAAATAAAATCAATCGGTCCCAAACATTATCCAATTGATTGAAAATGAAATCAACTTCGGTTGCAGTTTAGCAGATGGACCATGAGTGATTTGCTGGCCCACAAAGCAGATGTCAGAAGCATGCACAAAGCTAAGTTCAATACAAGACTGGTAGTTGACATGCGATAAGCAAATCAACAGACACTTCAGTTTTCTCCGCACACTTGTGCATACTTTCTGGCTTGTTTGTTTTGATGTTACGAATGTGTTGGATGAATAAGGCGTGAGTGGATGCATGTTATCCAGTGAGACTGACACCAGGCTGTTCTTTAATGTGCCTGGCGTGAGTGTGTCTGCATCTCACTCTGGAAAGACCTACTCTGACCAAGCTTACAGTTGGTCTTTTCGCAGCTCTCCAACCACCCTTCGTTTCTACCATCCGGTGTAGCACGTGCAAACGCTACACAAAATACCGGGCTGAGCTTCGTACATTTACTACTTGCCCTGATCGACGGATCCCACGTCCTTAGGTTGGGCTGGAGGAGCCCAGCATTTTCCATGTCGCCACCAGATACCAACAATGACCTGTAAAAAAGGCAGCCAAGACTGATAACGTTCGAATGTCTTCAGTACAGATCGACCAGTTATCACGGTTACCAAGTAGCACTTCGGGAACTGTAACGTCGTAGATACATTCGCCAAGTGAGAGACCTTTAACCTGTCATCACCGAAGGTGTCTCCGACAGCGTTTTCGATTCCTATTGAGACCTCTTCTCCAATACCTCTGCCAGGTGAAATGTCCCGTATTAATTAAGCGAAGTTATCAACTTCATAACCACCGAGCGCGACTGTAGTTCGCAAGTCCTTTAAGACTTCAGAAGGCACCGCATTAAGAAGATGCCCTCCATCGACAGATGGTTCGACGATCCATACATGGTTACAGCGACTTCACTCATCAGGGCGATTAAATCAGCATACTTCATGGCACTACTCTTTTAAGCTAAGGTGGCCGAATCATAAAGACGTAGCTAGACATTGTCTCAGTAGCCAAGCTGAAGATTCTTTAAATGACTTGAGATCCAGCCGTAGGTGTTCTCGTGTACGCCAGGGGCTGTTTCCGCATATTTCACATGCACGCTTGGACGGCTGAGAGTAGAATTTTGTTTGTCCCACTTAGGTATTCATGTACCCCCGCCGTGAGTTAGTTTAGGTATTGCGATTGGCCCGAAAAGTAGAGGCAACAGCCAAAAACTTGGCAAAATTCATTGGATGCATGCTTAGGTCGTGTCATAATTCGCAATCACGACGTTCAGTTTGACACATTCTTGTCACGGTGCACGCTTTATAGGCTGACTTAATGAAGCCAATGATGCTTGTTTAAATTTATATATTTGATTTGATTTAGTGTAGATAACAACTGCGATGCTTCTTTGGTCTACTCATGTCGCTTATGCATGATTGGGTGAAATATCACTCGCATGATTTGACTGCGGTTCTGGGATGGGCAAATGACAACTAAACTGCAAGAAATCTAACCAGGAGACACTGCCGTGTGCACCATGGCAAATCCTATCTCAGACTCAACAATGGGCATGATTTTCATCGTTATTGTGTCTAGTGTACCGCACCCATGCTCAAAGTCAGTACCCTCATGAGGTGGGTTTTTATGTTCACACCAGATATAAAAAATTGGCAACCGGCTAAGTAAAATGCTGCGACTAGATCCTGATTATGTATGTCCTATCACAGAAGCTTTGAGTTTAAATCAGTTATAACCATCAGTGTCTCTTCATGTTGGGTCTTCCGGGTAGATGCAATAAGACTATTTACTAAACTCCTCACAATGGAATACGAAACAGGATGGAGTAGTAAAGTATCCCTAATTAAGTGTAACGATGTTCATGGTTGTAATTTAATAACTGATTGCGTAATCAGTTCTGTATTCATCAAACGTCAGTTGCTCTATTCCCCCATATGAAAGCCACCTAATAGGTTGTTCGAGTCATGGGGTGTAGGCGATCACCACCCTAGTACCTTTATTGATATCTTGAAGCAAGCGTCCATCGGTACACATACATGAATCCGGCTGGCAGATAAAGTACTGATCTTAGCTGGCCGAGCTGCCATGCCCTGTTTGCACCGTATTAACTATGGTGTATTCAAATCCCTTTGTCTCATATTGTAAGGCGGCTCGCAGTCTCCATTATCTGCGCTGCAGTACGTCGCATCGAACGATCACAATATTCTTAGCCGGTGTACGCCAGGAGCTCACTAGTTAGCCTGCCTGTTGAAGTGGATCAAAGTTTCTGAGCGTTTTTTTTTCTGTCCTTTGGCGTATTATGGATTAGTAAGGCGATTGTAAACACACGGATTTTTTCAAAGACCATATTGGAGTAGAGATCAGGTTTTTCTGCACATCCGCGGTACCGGTTCTATTGTTTCCTGGTTCTTTGCTCCCAGTGTTCCGAATTTTGACAGCAATATCACCGACCATGGATGAAGTTTCAGCTCACTGTTGTTAGTCCGAAGTACCTGACAGGAATCAAAGTTCGCGAATTGCTTGAATGGATCGGATAGGATTCAGCTGTCACTTTGGAATACCTTAGGCTTACTGCATTGATTTGTGCATCTTGGACGTTGGTTTGACCACGACAAAAAACATCACTTAACGTCGGGGACAATGGACTCAGACAAGAGCTCAGAAAAAGAAAGCATTTTTTCATCAAATGCAAGCGAAGGAGCAGCACGGTAAATTTATCTGGTTAGATGAAATTACACATCCTCTTTTGTTCACGAGCTTGTGTTTAACTAATGTCGGTCTCTAGTAGCGTGCCCCGTGGTCGATGTCCATTGAAAAGGAAAGCTGCATTAGTTGTAGTTAGTCGCAGTAGTGAACTGTACACCGCGGGGATATTTTCCCACTAAACTGGGACGAGGAGGAGGTTTTGAGGTCTGTTTGACATTCTTGCTGGGAACCAAAGGCGGAACGTAGTGTTAGGTTGCGAGAGTGCTTCATGTCATAGGGATTTGGAACGTACAATCCGTGAACTTTTTGTGTGCTGTTGCGTTTGGATTTTTATTTATCTGCAACAAACCCCAGTGAAGGTGTCTGAAGCCTGGGGAAACAATCCATCAAAACAAACGTGCGACAGAAATATGCGGCGGTTGTTTCTTAGGCCTGCCCACAGCGTGAAGGACTGTTGTATTGCTTGGAAAATAGGTCGGAAGATGCAAAGTAACTAGCCGCAATTGGTACTGCTTACGTATGTCTCAGTATGTATGTTCTGTTTATTCTGGAATGTTGAACAATTAAGACATTTTGCCTGGACCCCTGGCACTGACATTGAGCTTTTCTGGTCGTTTTAACTAGCTTGAATGCCAATCTCCTACGAAAGAACATTTAAGTTGCTAGTGTCTTGCGTCTGGTAAGAACATGAAAATCCATCGCCCGAGGATACTGACGTTGAGCGCGGGAGTTGATACACTCGATAAGATAACTGCTATCATCATGTTTATTATAGGAGTTGTGATTAGATTTGTTGTCATGCCCACGTCAATGTCTCCTGGTTATATTTCTTGTACTTTATTTGTTATCAGCCAACCCCCAGAAGCGCAGTCACGTCACCTGAGTGATATTTCACCCAACCATGCATGAAACCCTTCGTGATCCGTATATATGAGTTCTGCTACGATCAGTTGAATGTTCGAATAATCAAGCGTTTGAACAGACTGAGCACCGGCACCTGGTCAACTTTATCTAACCTGTGGACAGTTTTGAGGCACTTCAGTACTCGTATCCTGATTTCTTATTGCTATTTTCGCGATGCCTTAGCCTCAAAATCATATAGTGTTCAGTGGTTGGGACCAGGTTTCCCTCATGTTTTCCTTTTCACTTCTCGGATTTTCTGCATGAGAGATCCTCAACACCATCTTAGACGGAAAATTTCGTGTACGGCCTCCAGGTTCGAAGTGGAAAATAACTGACAGTTTCCCGTAAGCCTCGAATTTACGTGACATACAACACAGTGGAGCCTTAAGTGTGGCTCTGTACTTTTTAGGCACCATATTAGATACCCCATTCTAACCTAATCAACATTGTCAAATGCGGCACCTATGAATAAGAAGTCTACAACATTTGGCTGCTAGTAGTTGTTGTAGTGCCTTAGAATCCGGCGGAAGGTAAGGATTTGAGCAATGCAATGTCATGGATGACACCTCCCAAAAGCCGTAGGAGATCGAAAGACGGTGATATGGAGTTCATTCTGGGTGATAGAACCCAGTGTTTAGAGTGCGCACACTATTTTGCATCCAAGTCTTGACAGAGAGAATGCTTTACCTATAGCAATCAGCGGTAGACTTCTTTCAGTGAGAGTGGTTCGGTATTTGTCGAAACTAGTTAGTATGATGGCGAAGACAAATGGTATGCTGACAGGAGATCAGTTAAACGTTGTTGCGACCGTGAAAAAGCAGCCTTTCCGCTGTTTTTGTTCTGATAAGTTAAGGCTGTTGCACATGACAGAAGTACTGACAGCATAGTACGATTTTATTGTATATACAGTCGCTACGTATTCAGGATAGCTAAAGCATAAAGAAATTCAGTCATAAAAGATTCAGTGATGATTCATAGGGATAACGACGAGTTTCTAATCAACCTTTTGAGTAGTATCTTCTACCGAGGACAAACGCTTCAGTATCTTGTACACCGACCCAAGTGAACCATCAGGCCACCTTTGTGCATTGATCTTAGTTGAGGAGTAGTATAAATGAAAGATTCATTGGAGTTTCGTCTTGAGAATCTCCCAGTTTGCTAGTGATGGATTAACTCAATAATGGATTGGTCTATCCTTCACCACACGTTTTTTTTACAAATAACTAGCTAGCTCCAAAGTTCGCCCAAGGTATCATATCGCGTGCTCCTTCCAAGACGGTATCCGTACCGGTGTGATGGGTTTACTTTTTGAATAATTAATCGATTGACAAGTTGGATTCGTAATCCATGTGACAACTCTATGTAGTTATGCATTGTACTTGTGAATTCCAGGCTGTCCGTCCCTGTATATTTTGATCACCTCTTACTGCGGCCAAATTCGTTCAACTTTTTCGAAATAGTCCGAGGTTACCATCATGGAAGCATATATTTTGACCGAAGCACGTAGGTTTTACATGTAACCAGTGTTAACCGTTTGAAGAAAGTGTGTGTCGTTATTTCGCTTGATGCGGCTGGTGGATAGTGTTCGGTAACTGAGCTATCCAGCCATTTTGAGTCCATGTCCCCATTGTTTTGTGATGTAGATGTGTTCTACCCATTTGTTAGCCCAACTGCCCAACCTGTCAGTCAACTAATCGATACGCCAATCTCCCACATGATTCATACGACTAATCACATGTGACTGGCTCACGAGGCCATGGCATTATTATTGAATCGCCCCCCCCCCACTACCCTCTGCCCGATTCGTTCACGTGGGCCCGTTCTCTTCTGATTTCTGCACGCCATAGAACCACATCTAATGACGTTCCAACCAGTTGATTGTTTTAGCTGACGTTCTGTGTATGGAGAAGCTTTTTGAAACCATTTGTTGGATCAGGAGGGATGAATTTAATAGAAGAATCAAATATTGGAAAATCTGCCAACAAACGTGAAAACGCTTGCCCTAATTCGGTCTATCTCGCAAGACAAAAGTATTTTTCACGGTGATTAGAATGCATGTTTTCAATGTGACAGTGGTGAAGATGAGCACAAAATATCATCTCTCCAAATCGATCGAATTCCTCTGATTTTGGAATTCTTACTGGGCAAGGATGTGATTATTGTTTAATAAAGCTTGACCTAGTCCAGAAGCCATTTTTCTTGATAGGGAAAAAGGATATTATGGGAGTGTCGAAAGGTAGTTTATTATCATTAGTCGAATACAGCGTTTGACTACGCAAGTTTATTGGTATTCATCTGTTACTCTTCCTTAGTGAACGTTTCCAGAATTAGAAATCTCAAGTAAACACTATTCTGTCTTGGTAGAAATGTGGCCAGTACGATAGCATACTGTAAGTTAGACTTGTTTCTAACTTGGCGTTCGTAGTTTAAGATCTGGCTATATCAGGGGTGCAGCTTATTTCCAAACCCATAGAGTGCACTGTTCAGCGCTGGCTAGGTAAAACGCACACCGCTTTGAGGCAATTTTTGCAACTTCCAAATTACTGAACTGCTTCATAATGGGCATGGATAACCTAAGTGGATGAGTTTCTGTGAACATGAACTTGGCAGAAATTTCTCATAGAATGTGCTGTAGATCAGCTGAAACTCGGTAACTGCTATGACGACTGTGTCGATCTGGCAGTAAATAATTCTCCTTTTGGCTGGTGAAAATAGGGGATATAAGTATTGTTGGTGTACCAAATTAGGGCGAAATGAATCATGGTCCTTTAGTTTTTGTGACAGGAGAGCAACAACTACTGACCACTTCATCATCTATCTGTGGCTCATTTGGGGAGGTAAATTCTTTATCAGCTTCAATGTTTTTGAAACGGAAGACAATGTATGTTTTTTTCAATCGATCTATCAACGCAAAGGAGTGGCACTCCTACGTTTGGCAGTTGAGTGAGGTGACAACAACTTCAAATTACTTAAGTTTTCATGTACATGTATATAGTACTGCTGAGTGTGATTAGAAGACTATGTGCAGACAGGTGGATCCACGTTTAAACAAAAGTGAAATAAAGGCCACGTGCTGCGTATGCCAGTCGACCGACTTCTTCGAAGGGCTCTTTTCGCCCAACCATGTGAAGGGTGGAAGAGAGCCAGAGGCGGTCAAACAATGACTTGGCAGCGAAGTATGAAAGCCATTACCAGCAAACTCAGCTGCGCTGAGTCACTGCCGTGTTCCTGGATGGGGACCACGAGACGGGCCACATCAATGGCTAGGGACATTATCAGCCATGGCCCAGTCGCGCCCTCAATGGCGCTCATGCATCAAAGCTATTGCCTTCCATGCATAGCTCCTTTTCCACCCCACCCCCGCTTGACAACCCACTGACAGTGCTAGATTTATGCACCAATTTACCAGCTCGCGCGTGCAATGCGCAGCTACCTACCCCCTCCCCCAAATCATCGGTGAACGAAACTGTGGCAGCTACAACCAGTGTACGACCAGTACGCGGTTCTTACAGCTGACAATGATGATGATGATGATGCATGATCAAGAAGATGCTGGATTAGGTTTGGAGTCGGTTGTACACATGTGAGGATATCACTAAATTGGGGCGAGTAACCAGTACCTAATTTTTTATCTTAAGCATGTGCTGGGATATGGGCGATAATGTTTCTCTAAGACATGTCAGCGAGTACTAATAAGTTCGGTAAATCAACCCAAGTCGTATTACATAGAAAGGCAAGGAAGAACTCCAATCTTGCTAAATTAGGTACCAGAGTGTTCAATTTACCTTTGGCGATGGAAATATGGAGAACGTATTCACAATGCGATCAGGCCACCCTTCTTTGATTTGTTCCAGCAAAAGGCAGGTCATTCCGGATCCGGTTCCGCCACCAAGTGCGTGGATTACTTGAAAACCCTGAATCAGATCGCAACCCTCTACTTCTTTTCGGACTACGTCCATCACGGAATCAGCCATCTCTGCCCCGTCCGTGTATCGCCCACGAGCCCAGTTGTTACCCGTTCCTGCTTGACCAATGATATAGTTTTCCGGACGGAACAGTTGCCCCATTGGACTAGCACGGACCGATTCCATTGTGTGCGGATCCAGGTCGACAAGGACACATCGGGGCACAAAACGGCCACCTTGAAGTAGCAGTAAAGGTCCAATCGTTTTATTTAGTCGAGGCGGTGTATACTTTCAGAGGTAAGCAAAGGAAATAAATTGCTTATGGTTGAGTGGCATTAAATCCACGCAGTGTCGCTTGAAGGTAACCTTTAATTTCTCAGTTCTGCATCTAGGATATTCCAAGATGCTGTGCAATCTGTTGAGCTTCACCTCATGGAGTTTCATGAGATGCGCACTCCTGATTCCAAAATAGGATCAAACATTTACACAGTACTTTTGAGCTTCTCAGCATAGGTCATTCCCAGTTTCCTAACGAACGTCCCCACTTAAATTTCACCTGTATATATACAGGTACGAAGGTTAATTGTAAATCAAGCTGTTGATAAAATTCTAGGAGCAGCACATACTTTCCCCTGTTGAAAAGAAAGTTAGTTCGTTTTGACAGTACGCTAAGGGGTCTTTATTGTAGGCTGCTCCACTAACAGTGACATGTATCAAACTTTCGAGGTTAACTGTTTAAATGGGAGTAATACGGGTGCAAAATACAGCGACAGACCAAATATGGCAATAGCCATTGGCAATTCTGCTCAGTAACAATACGGAAGAAATGAATTCCGCTGACTAAGTCAACTGACAACCACTGCGGTTAAAATAGGTTTCCAATCCATTAGACTACTTGATCACACTCACCCGTGGCTTCATTGAAATACACATTAATTCGTTCCAGTTGTAGATCATGGTCCCCGACATAGCGGCCGTTGGGGTCTACGCCATGTTCGTCGGATATAATCTCCCAGAACTAGATAAAATAATGGAGTTAATGGAATATATTATCATTAGGTTTACTCAATCAGAAGACTTTTTTCAGAATTGATGAACAATCACGCCAGGTTTACACTTGTGGGAGCCAACTACATGTGACATGTGATCGAGAAGTGGCTATTCAAGACTTCGGACTACTGTACGGTGCAGCTGCATGCTCTCTTGAACACAGCAAGTGACTCACTTATGAAATTTGTGTTTATTCCCGGCCGGTCGTTGGAATGCAGCGGTCACGTGAAGTGTTGGCAACACTTTTCACTGCAGGCTCCTCAACCACGAGGCCAGCAACCACACTACAAACTTGGTCACATGAATCGGTTCTCACCATTTGGGACATTCGCCACGATGCCGGACGAGCACCATAAAAGTGTTGGCTAGTAACTATACCACTTTTCTGGTCCAGACAGTCCTTCAGTACAAATGGAAGTTGTTATCTGTGGACTGGAAACACAATTTTAAACGAAACGACGGGTCTTAGACTGTGCAACCAGGATCACTGGATCGGGCTGACCAAGCTAGGCAAAACCACTATCGGTCAAGCAAGTTTGAGTGGAAATCTATGGATATCACTAGGTGGGGGAGTCTGAACCTTAGAAATACCAGGCCCCAATCCCAACCAGTGTGATCATCGCCGCTTAGCATATCGCTCATAACGTTTGCCTGCATGAATCCACCAAATCCGTAACCATAGCCCACACTTGGGCTTTCACCAGTCTCAAAGCGATTTTCGGATTTAGATGAACGGTCGCTCCATCCATAGTAATGTTTATCACTACTATAGCTGGACTCGACAAACCTTATGTGGCTAAACCTAAATATGGTACCTCATAGATGGTAAAAGTGCCATATTTTCACTAAGGGGATCTAGTTCTTTCTGAAATCTTTCTGTCCAAAGTGGACATTGCGCATGTTACTTTTACAATGTGTAAAATCTGCCGAACCCGTATATTCTCATTAGCACTCTCCATGATTCTGTTCGTCTATTGAGGACATAGGTACGTGTTACGAAGGGGACGAGAATACCGGTGCCCGTAGTATATATCGACGGGTTCGCTCTACCTTAGGGGAGAATACTTTCTGAAACAGGTTAGAAGGTCTCCTCTTTGATTACCTGGTCCTCCCTTTTGGCCTCAAGAGCCGCACACACTCGGACATGGCCATAACTATTAATGTCTCACCTATTGCTCATAATGATACAACGAAGATACGACATCCAGCGACCTACTTGTGTGGAACCAGAGAGGACAGGCAACCAAACCATGCGTCTAATGAGTTCACTTGGAGGATCAACGGGAGTGTGCCTTCTTAAACATCTATCGAGTTTTTTTTCTGACCACGTGTGTGTTTTCTGTGCGGATGACAATTGCAATGTAGTTGTGATGGATACCATTCAAAAGAAATTATCCCAGAGCTACCGGATAGTTTTGCAGACCTGAAATCCTCCAAAAAGACCAACGGAACCGCCGATTTTGTCAAAACTAATCGCTCTTGTGACCTCAACCAGTCGTTCAGAAGCATGCCCACTAACCTGACATTTTATCAGTTTGACTCAAACCTAGCAATGCATTTTGGTTTCTCAGCATCCAGAGGATCGTTAACTATTAACCGAAGTGAGACAAATTATATTTGTCTCTCTATTGGCTCCTGTGCGTCAGTCAAACAATTTCTACCGTGGCCAGGGCACAAACTATGTGGGTTTAAATGATCAACTAACTCAATGCGCTGGCACTCAGTTGTTATACTGTCTTGCAAACGGAAATCCTCAGTTTCTGCACTGAAACCTTCCGTTTACTGCTTTCGGAGCTAGCCGATTCCCGAGTTCGGTATTCTTTTTCAAAGCATCGTGGTTTATAGCATAGTGTGCCGTTCCTCTTCCTCACTCCCTCATGTTCAACATTCCTGAAGCTATCACCGACCTACATGTTTTGTTTGAAAAGCAAGCAAATTCGATCATACTCAAAGGCTGCTCGTAGTTCAAGGTGAGTAAAAACCCGTAACTTGCTCCAGGGTCGTGTTGCTGTCGATAGGGCGCTGTAGTTCAAGGAAGCATCCTATCGTTGTGCACAAAATAAGGATAAATAATAGGCTATGAACGCTAACGGGTCCGACCCAGACTACCCTCTTTTGTGATTACACCTTCAGTGTAATTTACCTATCACGAGTACTTTTAGGGCGCCTTTTGTCATTAAGTTCACATCAGAAATTTGTGTAGCATTATACTGTAGGAGGGACGACATCTGCTAACTCAGAAACACTAATAAGTTTATACGCGGTATTCCTTGATGATATCACCCTCTTACTACCCCACTGAGTACACATTTCCCCTTCTCACAAGATCAACAATGTCCCCTTGAGGACAATACCCTGATTCCACAGCCATTCCACCGTCACCAGGGGGCGAGATGGCCCAAGTGGTTAGAGCGCGAATTTACTGACCGGAAGGTCCGTGGTTCGAATCCGACCTCCGCCACTCGACTTCCCCTGTCTAGGCTTGGGCAACCTGGCAGTATCCCAGCCCTCGTGCTTCCTTCGAGTGGCATGGCAGCTAGGCACCGAAATGGTGCTACAGCTGAAGGCTTTCTTTCCACCGTCACCATGTTTAGAGGATATTTTGAATAAACGAAGTAGACCTTTGGTTTATCTATGCTCATCAATAGTGGAATCACCATAAGAATATCATCTCTGAGACCACGTGAGCACACAAATTTCCAGGGTCACCGTTCCCAATTTACCTTTAGGGACAACCGGAGTTAAGCAAAACGATCTAAACACTTCAGTCATATTCTACCTAAGCTCCATTTTCCTCAGTGCAAATCGATGCTTTCTCGCACTGATCAGTACTTTGTCTACCTGGTATGTATGGACAACTTGGTCATCCATAAACGTTGTCCCCGTTTTTATCCGTCGATCGGGGAGCTATCGCACTGCATGTCTGCAATGTACACAGACAGTTGGCATGTGAAAACTCGCAAAGGTCAATCAAAGAATATCTGGTGGCGTGCGATCACATGCCCTCAAACAGAATCGATATGGTCCTTGTTTGACTATTCGCATACACAAGTGACCCCGCTTGTCAGTGACGCTTGGAGATGGAGGTGATTTACGAATAAAGTAAAAGCTTTTTGTCAGGAGTTTTCGGGCCTGTCTTTTCGATCGAACAGTGATATCTTCGCGAATCGTTATACCCTTCATTGGGCCTACGAATTACGTTCGCTCAACAACTTCTAAAATTGTAGGTGGCTGCTGGATTCATAGAATGTACGTTTACGCCACTCTAAACTGAACAGCCCTTCTCTTGCCTTTGCGCAGTTATTCTGATGAGCTCACACCAGCGTACTGTACATCCATTTTCGGACGCGAAATACTTGACCAAATAATTCCTTGTTGGTAACATTGCGGTGACCTGCCGGAGCTCACAGCCACTGCAGAACGAACCTTTTATTTAACAAAGCATTTTCCCTGGCCTTCACGCATAACAGGTTCCTAAACGCACTCTCGAACTTCGGTATAAGTTGTACACAGACAGTTCATGTTCGGGTGCATAATTCCTTCCTAGCACAGTAACTCACATTAAAGCAGGCTAATAAAGCGTCTCCCGTAACAATGCTAATGCTAGTACTTATACTGACACCAACAACAATATGGCTCACAAGTTTGAGGTAAACTCTCTTCGTGTACAGAGTGTACATAGATATTTGTGTGTGTTACTCGGCACCCTGCGGGACAGGCAGAAATACCATATCCTTCGGCAAACTGAACCAATGCAGCTTTTTCAAATTTTCTCACTTTTTATGAATGAATCAGTTTTATAAGATGTGTGTCATTTATATTTTGCCGGTGGTTTGAAAATGAGCTAGATGGGTGAGGATGATCTTTTCTCGATCCACCTGACTGTGGTGAAACACTGATGAATGGGGATATGAAATTCTGTCAACTGCCGGGGCAAATGTATATATTTTCCACTACCCTCAATGGAGCTAGGACTGCTTCGTTACATCGGAACACAAAGACTTCAACTTTATTCCGCCATGTAGTTATGTGTTCAGTTTCCAGGTCGCATGGTGGATTTGAGAACATGCTTTATGAGGACTCGATGGTGTTGAGAAATTTTGGCGAACGGAATCGACAAATCAAATGCATCCATTCACACACGCACGTACGTATGTTTCAACTCAGTATACTATTCCAGCTGAACTGGATACACCGTTTTTTTTAACCTCTGAACCATCACACACACGCAGATCTCATCGCCATATAGTGGAGCAAAGAGGCAAAAACTCGTTATCGTCTCAGAAGGCAGCCATTACCAGAAGTGACAGCATTCGTGCCGTTGCCGCGTTGCCAAACTGAGCCTTTGGGAATGCGGTCACTTCAGGAGGAGTGCGGGTCCCTTCCCACTTTAAAGCTTTAAATGTAAGTAGATAAACTCTTTGATTACAAGCAGTGAAACATCAGTGTCATCAGTGATGTTACTTATTATTATTATTATTATTATTATTATTATTATTATTATTATTATTATTATTATTATTATTATTATTATTATTATTATTATTATTATTATTATTATTATTATTATTATTATTATTATTATTATTATTATTATTATTATTATTATTATTATTATTATTATTATTATTATTATTATTATTATTATTATTATTATTATTATTATTATTATTATTATTATTATTATTATTATTATTATTATTATTATTATTATTATTATTATTATTATTATTATTATTATTATTATTATTATTATTATTATTATTATTATTATTATTATTATTATTATTATTATTATTATTATTATTATTATTATTATTATTATTATTATTATTATTATTATTATTATTATTATTATTATTATTATTATTATTATTATTATTATTATTATTATTATTATTATTATTATTATTATTATTATTATTATTATTATTATTATTATTATTATTATTATTTATATACACCACCCTTTCAGAACGGACACAGCCTACGGTAGATGAAATATTGGAAGGTATAGAACCATACCTGTCTCTCTCTTCTAATTTCTGACTCCGTGGTTTGCACTCAAGAACAAGGTCTAGCAATGGGATTCCCAAATCCCCGTTTTATCAAACATTTTGACGAAAGATTTTGAACAGAAAGCTTGAACGGGATTCCCGTACCCACCCAAGGCCGTCTAGCGTAATCTAGGTGACACTCTCATCATGATGAAACGAGACAAGCTCAGCGCGTTCTGCAACTACTTGAATGAACTGAATCCATACAATGGATTTAGTATGGAGATAGAGTCAACTTCGGGTACACTGGTTTTCTTAGACTGCGTGGCACATATGGGGAAACTAAAGATTACAATGTACGAGAAGTCAACTGATACTGAGGCGATTTTGAACTCCTAGTCCGAGGTCGGTATTCGCTAGTAATGCCGAGTAAGCGCCCTGTGCACAAAAGTTGATCGGACAGCGGACCAAACCGAAGTGAAGAACAAACTTCAGGGTAATGGATATCCAGCTAGTTCGATCAGGCATCAGTTACGAATGGGGTTCGTACCGGTGGTGAAACCCAATAGGCAATGGATTGGGACTGCTGTTATTACATATAAAATAGGGACTTCGGGAGTCATTCGACGGGTTCTTAACACGGCTAACATAAAAGTAGCTTTCCAGAAAAGAAACGCTCTGTGCTCTGTACTGGTGCAATTAGAGGATAGCATCCCGGCGAACCGAACCGGAGACTGACTACAAAATTAAATGCAACTATTTCACTAAGGTTGCACGGCAGCGAATCATCAGTGCTGAACACTGTTGATGATGATGATAGTGACTAAGGTCTATGTAGGATAGACGGCCAGGGGACTTCACACCAGAATCGGCGATCACAGGAGAACAATAAATAGACCGCTGAGAAACCCAGATCAATACCGAGCTTTATTGGAAAACTCAGCAGTGACGAAACATGCACTGAACGCGGGACACTAAACAGATTTGGAAAGCGCTGAAGTTTTTGGGCGGCGACTACCGTCCACGCCGTGGGGACCGATGGCCGAGGCGGCGGTAATCGCCGAACTTCCCAGTGTAAGTAGAGTAATGTGCAGGACTGGCAAGCGTGTGGAAAACGGTTTTAGATCAATTGAGGGTAGTGTGCGGTTATCGGAAACAGGGCTCATCAACAGAAGTAGCGTAGATCTGAAGTGCGCTTAATCTCACATAACTCACCCCCCAACTAAGTTTTCGTTGTAATTACAAGCCCACATGGACCGAGGAAATCTAACAGTAGCATCCAAGATGATTCATCATTTGAGGCACCTTGAATCAGAGGATTGAGAAACCAGACCCCATCAAAAATAATTCGCGATTCCCCCCAACCCGTCAACCGCAAGATTTAGACAGCCATCATTTCGGTTAGTGTGGTTCCAGTCAGTAAGTTCGCCCTTCATCATCATCACCATCACCATCATCATCATCAACATCATTGACAGCAACACCAAATGAGAACACCAGTGCTTCACTGCCGTAAAACCATGTCAATTTGCTTGACTAAATTATTATAAACGAAAGAAGAAAACATGGGACGGGAAGGGAATCTCGAGATAGCCTACCACAAAAACCCGAGGTTCCTGCACCTCCAGCACTATGTCAGATAACCGGAATAGAATCTGACAACATAAAGGCCACTGCCGTGTCCCCAGCCCAGCACTCAGAGGGTCACATTAACCTTATTCTGGAAGACGAACAGCACCAACAGAAACCAAACTTTTCGTATGATCCGCTATTTACTTTTGCTATGTCAAATTCTGTCCACCTCTATTTCCGCAACTCCTAATTGGGCACGGAAAACAGCACTTGTCTCGCAGGCGGGTACTTGGCATACGTAATGTATGGCCCAGCCACCTTAACTTGCAGTGTTGGATGCATTCTTTGAGGGAAATGTACCCTGTCTCACCAAAACCTGTCTTCTGATCAACTCACTGCGAATTCACCGTTTACAGTTGACTTCAGTTGTAGTCCAGGACCTGTCTAAGACCTGAAGTTGTCTCAAATCCTCCGCTCAAAGTGGCCAAGTCTCGCTCCTTAGTGAATGGGCTACCCCAAGCTCAGATAGACAGACTACTTGAAAGGATATTCCATTGTCACAGACTTACTTTGGCCCCACAATTATTTCCACTCTGTCCAACCTGGAGAAATACAATTTCACGCATTTTGTTTAGTCAGGATGATAGCTGAGTGACGGACACTAACCGGTTTCGTCAGGTAAAGTGACCTTTCGCTAGAGTTCAAATCATTAATCGATAGGTTCAAAACCTTTCCAGCATAAGTGGTCCGACTGTTATTTTGAGGGAACGATGGCGAATCGGGAAGGATAAAAGAGATACTATAGATTTGATTTTCACAATAGACTCAACTGAATCTCTCCTTTATGATATTCTACAACTGAATGTGCTGCACACAGGCCGCCTCATGATTCAGTTGGCAGGATATTCGAGATATTGCAGTATATTTTCATAAAGGAAACTACTCATAAGGTTGCCGCTCAACGATGGAATAATAATAATAACCATAGTTCAGATGCAGCATCTTTCGGTGCAGAGCTGCCGTGCAATCAGAAAGAAGCACGAGGGAAGGTTTCACTTGGGTAGCACAAACTTGCATCGTAGTGTGAGTTAGCGCGATTGATTGAAGTATGCCTGAAGCCCCGTAATCGTAAAGTACGGGCCGTCTAGCGTGGCATGATAACAGAAGACCTGCGACGAAGTAACATTTTGAATAAAACGACTAGATATATTTTAACCTCCCGGTGGAAGCGTTCAATCCACTTTCGCGTGCATATCAATGGTAAATAGTCTGTGTTTTTCCTCGGCGAATGTTACAGACAACAAGCTGGAGGAAAGTCGAGAGAGTTCGTCCATGAAACACCTACGGCAACTTTAAGGATGGATGTGTACCTTCTAAGCCCGTAGACGTTGGTCGAGAAATCTGCTTTTGCATGGAGGAAATGAATCCGCAGTGTGTCGGTTCAGTAACATGCATCCTATTCTCATCAGTGTCAGGAACTGAAACATCCAGATCATATAAGTGCTAGACACTAGAACAATCAAAGACACTACTCAATAACATTTGTGTACACTATACAGGATTCTCAACTTTGATGAGTAGGCCCTCGCTGATTCTCGCAAATTTCGGATGATAGTCATGCAATGTCACTCGAAGCGAAGCTTTCAGATCCATCTAGTTACCTGTTCGTAGTGAGGGCTTGGCCACGGGGATAACAACCTTTTAGAGGAAAATGCTCTGATGTTTGAGGGATGTTTTGCCTTCTGATGGACACAGATTTGTTCTATGCTTCCCGCACCTTTAGCAAAGCTGGCAGCTTACTTGGGCGGCACATAATTCTGACGAACTACAGTTGCGCCTCTGTGTGTACGGTTCGTCCGATAGTGTGGGCCGTTGCCCTCAGTATGGACTCTTCTGAAGGCAACTGCAACATCTGCCTCATTTTTTTCGCCCTATGCTATGCATTGCTTCACCACGAATATCGGTACGGTGCGACTGTAACGTGAAGGTAATTGCGGTAGCCTGTGGTAAAATACCGATACAGTAACAGTGTTGAAAACGCAAACCACGGTTTTCCACGGACTAAATTTCCGCGTATTACGTTCTCTAAAAAGTTGATTAGAATTCGTAGGAAATGTGCGGAAAATCTCCCAACAATGTAGCATCCAGCAACTGGCACTTTGAGGTTGCCAGGACAACCACAAGTGAAAGTTTGCCAAACCGCATCGGTTGCAGCAGTTTCACTGGGACTATTTAGGAAACAGCCATAGCTTCTTGCTTGTTCTCAAACGGCCGACAAGCACAACAAGATGATAGCAATGTTGTGTAATGTAGGTAGCTTGGGTGCGCTGCTCGGTTGTTGGTCTGTTCGCCGAGCTTGGCATTTGGATTGCAAACGTTTCATCACCAATCGAGGTGACATTGTCGTCAACCCTACACTGACGATGTCATCTCGTTTGGTGATGAAACGTTTGCAATCCAATTGCTAAGCTCGGCGAACAGACCAACAACCACAGCAAGATCTGCACAGCTAGTCTTCGGACCAGATGAAAACTATATCGTCGCACGTTTTCTTGCGTTAAACATGAAACGAAGAGGCTTTCTGGGCCGGTATTTTGGCGAGTTATTTTTCGGGAAACGCGACCGATAGGTGTTGTTGTTAGTTTCCAACTGATGCTCCCGAGAGCCTTATCCTACGACCACTTGCTGCAACATCAAATGCTTTCATAGCTGTCTAACCGATGCGGTTCGGTTCCGTCACACAACTGCCAAAGTGTACACGATTATCCGAATGAAACATTCCGGGATCGATGAATCACTGGGGCAAGACCGTTCATCTGACCACGAGACGGCCGAAACTATGTCCACGTGGTGTGCTCCTTTGGCACACTTGAAGCAGTGGGCAGGTCAAGGAACTTTCAGGACCTACGATCAAGCATCGTGAATGAGTTTGAGGACATTATTCAAGCGACCCTGGGGAAAATGACGTCTCATCGTCCTAATTATCTTTCGTACAAGCAGAATGCTAGAGGGATTCCAAATTTGTATGTCAGTAAGACTATGAAGATAGTGAAGTATCTTTTTTTCGATGAAAGTTTCGGGAGAATATTGCTCAAAGATGTGTCTTAAAGGAGAATAAGCTATTGTCAGCATTGCTGGGAAAATTGTCCTTTCAGTGTGGCTGGTCGCATGAAGTGGATATCCAGAAGCGTAAATAGTTATTTTCAACAACGCAAGTAGGTAAAGCCGGTCAATGCAGCAGTAGATCGGTAACCGCACGGATCCCAGTGATCGGGCGCTGTCAGTTACCGCCAAGATGTCTAAACTATACTGAACAAGTCGTAACAACTTGCTTGAGGCATTCATTTTTGTGTACCGGTCTCTAGGAAAGGCGAAATCATCAAAACAGTTAGAAGCGACTCTCTAGCCATACGGAGGTTTTCGACTGTTTATCGAGTATGGCACACATCAATAAGGACATTGATTTCTTATTAAGTTGCACATGTGTTCCTCTGGGACACTAAGGACATTACTGAAAAAAATCAGCCCAGTTATTTTATGATAAACGGCATTTTCATCTGCGAAAATTCAAGTAAAAGTGGACTGAATGGTAAGAAATATGCGAAACATTAGTAAGGTCAATTCACTGAGATGTACGACGCCTCATTCACCAGTCTTCAATTGGTGCCGTGCTGTACTTCTTGATTACTAATCACGCTCTGCATGTCAGTAAAATATCAAATCACATTAGTCAGTAGAAGTACACTGTTCACGAACAGAGGGACTTTGCACGTCTGTAGAGCTAAATTATAGATGCGTTTGATAGACCTCAGAAACAAAAAACCAACACAAGTCAGTGTGACGGTGCTAAACAGAAGTTAGAGCAGCTAACGACCAGGATGATTGTCAATCGCTATAGCAAAAAGACCTGATGATGCTAATTCAAGTGCTGGATATGTCTAGTAAGTAAGTCGGATCTCACTGTAGTTGATACATATATCGACCAGCTGACTAAACCAAGCACAGAATCATGAAGGGAAGAAAGTGATGACAAAACAGTAGCCTGAACAGTCCAGATGTCTGGGATTGTTCTTTGCATAATATGGAATCAGAAAGGAGAACGCATAGTAGCCGAAGGCATTAAACGAAGATGTTTTATGGTTCGACTGTTTCAGATGACTTCATTCGGGGAGGTGTCCAATTATTCCGAGAAGTCAACACTGATAAAATGATCGTGAACGTCTACTCATATTAGATGTGGGTACATGTTACAGAGATGGGTTTCCGAGTCAGAGTAGCCGATGCAATTCAATGGGTTACGGTACCTAATCGACTGACCTGAATGAGTGTTTCGCAGTCGGATCAATTGTTAACGTCACGCCGCACCTGTCCAAGTTGTACACATGTGGCTAGCGGGCATCCAATACGGATCTGCCGGTGAACAGTGATTGAAAAACTCTACGATTGCGCATAGTCGGGTTACACTAGCGGTCCGCACCGATCCGGATGACCTACTGTCTATGAGCCTGTTGTAGATCAGGTCACAACCCAGAGGATGAAGATCGGTGGACCAAGTCGCAATGGACCGTTGAGATCGATCATTTAGCCTGAGGACGATGGGATTCGCACCACATTGGACCATGAGTCAGCTTTTAATCAGACATCAGCATACTGACACACTTCATCCGCACAAAGCCTCTCAATAATATCCATCCGGTCTGTCAACATTGAAAAATACCTGCCTGTTTTCCACGGTCGAATGTCTTCACAGAAATTATTAAAAGATGCATCCTACCGAACAAGCCACAATCGATCATCTGGCTAAAACATCGCATTTGATAGGACGAACACGAAAACGGTGAGGCACGTAACGGGGAAGTTGACGACAGAGACACGGTAGCTGCACCATCACAATTCGCGGAAGTACAGCAAATTAAGCCCAACTTACCCACCGATGATTCATGAATGAGCCCGATTCGGACTGTGCGGACTCACACGAGCTTGATGTGATTTTTCACACTTATCCGTTCATCCACGATAGTTGCAAGGAAGATGTTGAAAACTACTAAATACGTGCCTTCATTTTCATTCCTGTGATATTAAGCATGAAACAACCAAGGGTGAAAAAGGAAGAATATCATGGATGACACCGTTACACCATCAGATTATTCGAAGCAATAGTGTTTGCTTCCAACAGCATGACACTCCGTCCCACTGTCGTAGGAGTGTACGAGAATTTCTGGATGAACGTCTCGAGTTTAGATGGATTGGTCGATGAGAGCCGTCTGACAGACTTCTCAGGTTGCCGGACCTGAAATTCATTGGTTTTCTTGCATCTGGGGGTGGTTGTATCAGTGTGTGTAAAACAAACAACCGAAAAGTCTTCAAAAGTTACAACCTAATACCCTGAACGGATGGAAAGCGATGGCCAGTTGTCACATATGCATGCTCTTGTACGAACAAAACACTCACACACACACTACTGACCTTTGGATTTTCTGTCCATGCATTATCCTATCAACGAAGTGTTTACAATCACAATGAGTTATCATGTGAATCAGCATCACTCTAGAGGTTGTCAGATGAAATCCGACCTGATTCGATTCGTAGAGCACTGTTTTAAGAATTGCAGACAAGTGCTTCGCTGTTATTTCTAGGCTAACAGCAACTGATCAACAAGTAATAGTGCGCTCATCAAATCTATT